GGGGGGGGAAGAGAACCGACAAAAAAACAACCCTCTGACAGTTTCTCTGTCTAATGAGTGAATAATTCTGGAGACATTTTCTTATGACCCAAAACACATTGTGCAAAGCTCTCAAAAGATTTCAACTGGGAAAACAGCTCTTTAGCCCTCTAATCCTTTTCTCCTTGAGAAACTCATTAATGCTCTCTGGACTGCAGCCACCTTTGATTTCCTACCTTGCTGGCAAATCAGGAAACGATCTGACCTCATTAGCCTCTTCTCTTGTTGGCTCCAGACATGCTGACCTGGTACATGGGGTTGGCAGAAAAGGCTCCAGAAATAATTGTGACTTGTGCATGGCATCAGAATCTAACCACAGCTCACTGAGCTTCCATAGCCAACACAGCTTTGGACTCTGGTAACTTTAAATTCATTAATTACGCTTGCTGAAGTAACGTGTGTGTTACAGAGCGGCTCTAAGTTGTTCTACAGCAGCTAATTACAACCCCTCCCCCATGGTCAAACTCAGACCCTCAAGGAAATTGTTTAGAAATACCTCCTCACCCTCTGTCCTTTTCTAGCAGGTGTTCTTTAATTGGGAGTTTCCATTGACCACTTCTTGTTTCTATTAGAATTTGATCTGAACTAAAACCCCTGAAACTGAACCACCCCAAACAGACATGTTCAAGCTCCCGAACCAAAATATGTCCATGTCCAGTATCCATTAGTCAATTAGTCTGTCTCCTGCCCAGATTTACTACAGGCATTTGCTGCACAGCCATACAGCCTCTTTCTCTGTACCTCTTCAGTCCCAGCCCCTGGGACTTCCTGTCTGTGGCCTTGTCTTCACTAAACAGTTCCTCTCATAAAATGAGCCACTATTGCCATCACTGATGAAAACAGATCAGCAGCAGTTCCAGGTATTTCAACCCCTCTATCATCTAAACCTACTCAGAGCTCTACCAACCACGGGCCAGACTCTGCCATTCCTATATTGAGAAGTACCTTACTCAGTGATTCCCCACAGAAATCAACTAATGCAGTTGGCATAACCCCTAAGATCAAGTACTCAACCTCCCAGGCACCCACTGAAAAGTCCATCCCAGAGCAACTCTTTCAGCCCCCCCAATTTGCTTGTCCTTACCCATAATGGTGACATCATACTCAATCTGGAAGAGCGCCTCCTGGCTGCACTGACGCAGGATGTTCAGCGCATCGGCATGAGTTACACTGTGAAGGGGAATCCCATCAACACTCAGCAGCCTGTCCCCGATTTTCAAGGACCCTTCCCTGCAGAAAGCCAGAGGCAGAATACAGTACAAATCTTGATCAAACATGATCTGAACATTCCCCTGGACAATAGTTTAGGGTATTTATAGTCTGATGTCCATCGTGTTTAATTAGCAGTATGAGAATAAAGAATCTGCCTCAGACCCCTTAATGCGTTACCCTCTATCATAGCAATTGTGGTCCTTGAGAGATTTACATTCAGCTAATGAAGTGATCATTTTGGAAGAGGTACTCCTAGGCATAACAGACATCCCTACAGGAGACCAAGATATATCAAGATAGCCATCCTATGGCTACAACTTCACAAGACCTCTACATTGAAAGCCGTAATTAAATACCCAGGAGAGACAGATGAGATGGGCCACAGGCTTTTATATCCTGAAGTCTGGTTAGAGCTGGGCATACATTTTGTTAACCTCAATTGTGAAAGGAGATAAAACTTGAGCATTACCTGTCTGCAGGGCCACCTGGCCTTACGTAGGTGAGTACTAATGGTCTGGATTTGTGCCAGTCTTCATGGGCTCCCCCTAGAGCAAAACCAGAAAAGCCATTAGTAACTAATCTCTCGAGCTGAACACCCTTATTGTCTTAATAGGGGTGTTGAGGGACTAGAAACATTTTTCATTTAATAGCTGACAAAACTTGCAAGCAAAGACGGTTCTGGATAGTCAGCCAGCAGTCCTTGAAGGTTGGTCAGTACGTACTTCAAGGCACAGTTTTGTCTCTCATACAAGATTTTCAACACAAATTTTCACTCATCCCTTTTGTTCCCGCATTCTCAGAGGCACCCCAACCAATGTTTTGCACATCCAGTCTTTATCATCCTCCTCCGAGAAGTCACTGACCTCTTAGCACAAAGCCAAAACTGTTGCCCTCCTTGTATAGACACACCTCTATGGTCTTTGGAATAATGCCAGAGCTGCTCTCCGGTGCTACATGCAGAGGGAAAAAGGAGAAAGATGCCTGTAACCCAAAATAGCATTAAAATACAGCATTTATATTCTAGATTTCCCCAAATCTGCCTAGACTAATACTTTGACATTGAAGTGAAACCCTGCCATATCTCAAAACAGTTTCACTGTGTTCAGTGCCATTCAAAAGCCAGCAGCCTCAGTCATAGAGATGCAAAGTTCATGATGTTTTTAATTAAAACACCAACACAGTCAACTGCTGACCTAAAAAATAAAAAAATCCTAAGCCAACCTTTTAGCAATGAGGATGTTGCCCCCCCCTCCCCCACCATATTTTGACTTTTAGAAGGGGAAAAAATGGAAGTGAATGCTTTAAACAGATCCTAGGGGAAAATCAGGAACTTTACGCTGAATATACTGCTCCACTTAAGGTCAAGAAAGTACAGTGAATGAGGAAGAACAAAATTGTCCATTCTCTGATGTGCAGCCATTAAGGAGTGTATTCGTTTTACCATTAATGGTGCTCCCCGCCACTCTCCCTCACTTTGGGTTCTTTACCCAACTATCTTAGGGCATGGCTACACTTGCAGATGTAGAGCGCTGGGAGTTAAACCCGCCTTTGTAGAGCGCAGTAGGGAAAGTGCTGCAGTCTGTCCACCCTGACAGCTTCAAGCACACTGGCGTGGCCACATTTGCAGCACTTGCAGCGGCATTGGGAGCGGTGCATTATGGGCAGCTATCCCAGCATGCAAGTGACTGCAACGTGCTTTTCAAACGGGGGTGGAGTGGAGTGTGACAGGGAGTGTGTTGTGTGTATGTGGGGGGAGAGAGAGGGTTTTTTTTGGGGTGCTGAGAGTGTCAGCATGCTGTCTTGTAAGTTCAGATCCCCCTCCCCCCACCACCTCTCTCACTCAAAGCAAACAATAAAGGTTTGCTTTTTCTCGGAGCTGATAAGCAGCCGGCTTCTCCGAAACAGAGTTTTGAAACAGAGCATTCCTGCAGCCGATTTCACAACAATGACAAAAGGAGCCACTTGACTTAAGGGGATTATGGGACGTTTCAGGAGGCCGATCAGAGCGCAGTAATGCAACACCTCGTTCACATGGATGCCCGGGCGCTGTAGCCAAGGTGCAAACGTTATTCCTCTCGCCAAGGTGGAGTACCAGCCGCGCTGTAGCCGCAGAGTCAGAGCGCTCTACATACCTTGCCAGTGTGGATGGGGAGTGAGATAATGCGCCCAGGGCTCCTTTATTGCACTGTAACTTGCACGTGTAGCCAAGCCCTTAGAGGGATGTCGGATGAGCATGCGCAGTAGAATGAGGGATTAATTTTGTTAATTTACTTTTCCTTTCTGGTTTAGGTTGATTTGTTTCAAGATTTATTTTTTTTGGTGGTTAGTTTTTTTTGGGGGGGGGGGGGGAAGGAAGGGGGGTTGGGGATGGGAGGGAAATCACAGGGGACGGACGTCAATATTGAGAGTATCATTCTTATGGTGGAAAGGCCTCAATGAATGAAGGAGTTTTCCAATTTTTTTTTGCATTATTGCTTTGTTCTTAATAATAATTATTAAACCAAAAAAATTTCAACCCTCTTAATAGAATCCTCCTTTTATCTGAACTGGTTCATCTGCTTCTGGGTTTAAGACCCTCTAGCTACAGAACACAGTTTTTCAGCCTCTCTGTTGAAGACATGTAGCAAATGGAAGTGTGCAGAAGAAACAACATTTAATACAGTTCAACAGAGAAAGCAGAGAGGCGTATTAATTGGGTAGTTAGGATTCTGAATACTTTCCTATAACCACGATACACAAAAGAAAAAAAAAGGGGGGGACAGAGAGAGAGAGAGAGAGAGCGCGCGCGCGAGCGTTGGGATGCAGATCAGGGATTTGCTGCCAAGTCACAGCAAGCCAACAGAAATCTAATCAGCCATCTCCAGCCAGTGTGCATGAGCAGGCACCCACTATGCTGGAAAGAGAGAGAACTAACTGCAGTTGCAGAGTGGATCTGCAACCTCTACCAATGTTTCACAGACAGATGAAGACAGAACATAATGCTGCCCCATTAAACATTCTTTTTGGTAAAGGGCATAACAAACAAATCCCATCTGTATCACAGAATGAGACAGTCAAGCAAAGAAAGTAACATTATCTTAGAGACACACACCAGCTGGGGGCAGTTCATACTCCACCTCCAGTACCACCCTTTCTCCTACATTCTTCAACAGGCTTATAATTTCATCATGCCGCAGTTTAATCAGGTTAATCCCATTCACTGACTTGATGTAGTCTCCAACGTTTAACCGATCACTTCTGTAAAGAAACAATAAGATTCTCCATTATGGTCTGCCTGGGACATCTTCTCTACTGGAGAATTTTGTTTAAAAAAGCCACCAAAGATTAACCAATCTTAGCTGTATTGTCAAAAGGAATAGGAAATATTTCCACTTGGCTGGAAAATGTGCCCATCGAATATTTTTCTAGGGGCAAACCTTCAGATTCAGGCAAATAATAATTGAAAAATACGTGTTTGCAACTTCCCTCCACGCCACTCACCCCACTGTGAGAGGTTATCATGGAAAAACCAGAGACCAATGTCAAGTGCAACATCTGGAGAAAGTTCCAGCAAACAAGACAAGCTCTGTTTTTTTTCCCTCTTTCTGCTTGCTCTTGGCAAAATTCTATTATTTCCCCCCCTTTTCTCCTCTCCTTCACCATGTCTGCTCCCCCACTCCGCTCCACGGTCTCCTAATTGAATCCTACAATGACAATGTTAGTGCTGGAGTTAAACTTTTAAGCCCACTGTTCAAGTTGGTTCAGAATTAGGCCAAGTGTATTCACTCACCCTAGCCAGGATGTAATCTACTATTTAGATGCATTAAAAAAATAAAACTGCTCGAGTTTTGTGGAACCACTTATGTTTGTAATTGATGGGATTGAGAGAAACCACAGAAACTGGTTTTGTTTAACCATTCCAAAACCTGTTCTAAAACGTCGTTTCGTTATCATTGCATAGATCATAGGAAATAACTCTGAATGGAACAACAGGCTTTTCTTATGAGATGAATAACTTGACATCTCATGGTACCATTAAAAAAATATTCCGAAGCCAACTCACTTGTCCTTATACATATCAGGTATTCAATACATCCACATACAACACTTGCCACACAGATTTTCTTACCTTGCTGCCAGCCCTCCTGGCCTCAGGTTTGAGACCCTTGGCTTTCCATCTTTGTCTGTGCCACCAGATATAGTTAAGCCAAGGGTGCTTCCCTCTTTCTTAATCAGCTCCACAATGGTGACCCCTCTGAATTCCTCTGAAGATAAATATCAGAAACAAATCAAACTGTAACTGAATATTTCAGCGGAAGGTACCTTTGGTTCACACCCTGGGAGCACTATATCCCTGTGTATGGTGGGACCGAGCATAGAACTAGTGAATTTATTTGGGAAAAAAAAATACAGAAAAATTGAGACTAGGGTATCAGCAGCAGAAGGGTAGAGGAAAGGGAGACGAGAGGGAGAAAAAAATATAAAATAAAATAAAAAGGACAATAGGATGGTTCCCTTTCCTGTCAACTCGTTCATCTCATTTCTCCCTTTTCACTTCTGAAGCAATATCTCCTTTTACAGAAACTCAGGCAGAAACTTATGGTTTCTTCCAGGTCACTCCTACCTATTTTGGATCACGACAAAAATATCTGTATCTATTTAGACATTTGATGCTTCGGAATAACCTGACCCACATTGTAAACAATTACCACTACTAAATATTTATATTACACTAGTGCCCAGAGGCTCCAAACAGAATCAGAATCCAGTTATGGTGGGTGTTGTCTCAAGTCACACTCCTCAGGGTAGTCAATAGGCGGACTGTGGGCCAAATCCGGACCGCCGGATACTTCTGAATGGATCTTTTTATTTACTTATCATCGTTATTGTTATTACAGTGTGAAAAATGTTTCTCTGGAGTCTGGACCTTCACTATACCTTGACCAAGAAATTTGAACCTTGACAAAAAGATAACTGACTACCCCTGTCAGCTTTCATTCTAAAACAAGTGATGTACAAAAGTTGAGACAGGTAGCGGGATGCAACCAAATATGCACACAATTGACTTTACATGCAACTTTTAAAAACATAAATGATAACTAAAGGGCCAGCTCATCTTATCTGCCCACACAGTGCACCATTAAATTGGCTGATTTCTGGGGGTGTCTACACGGCAAAGAAAAACCCGTGGCTGGCCTGTGCCAGCCGACTCAGGCTGCATGGCTGTTTCACTGCCATGTAGACTTCACTCTAGGACCCTGTGAGGTGTCTAGCTGCTGTGTAGACATACCCTTACAGGTCTTGAAGTAGAATTGTGTCCTGAGGAGAGATTTGGCGTAGGAGTGGCTGTCTGGATCAGCTGAGGAAAAGTATACCACCTATAAGCGGTTGGATGAAAGAAGGTGCTGGGGGAGGGCGGGGGGTTGTAAGAGCATAGAAGGCACGCAGATGGAAAAAGAGAGGCTGGTATTACAGACAAGACAGACAGACAGGGAGGAGAAGAGCTGCGCAGGACATTGTGTGTGAGGACAAGAAGCTTGAGCCTGATCAAGTAAAACAGAGGGTGGCAGCGGAGGGATTCAAATGTGATGTGATGAGGTCAGAGCAACAGCCAAGAGCGATTGTCTCAGCAGCTCTCTGTTTTGTATGGACCAGAGAGGAGCAGCATGGGTGTGAGGGAGGCTGGGGAAGAGGAGGTCACAGTAATCAAGAGGGGAGATGTGGGCCTGGACAGACAACACACAATTGATCTTAGAAATTCTGTGGTGGAAGAAGTGGTAAGATTCGGACGTGCAGGGTATGAGATGCGAAGGAGTCAGATTCTGTTGGCATATGGACAGGCAGCTAGGGAGATACGGATGGTGAAATCCTTTCCTTTAGGATAGTTTTCAGTTGCAACTGTACTCCACCCTTCTTCAGCTTGCCTGACTTGTCACAGGTGTTTTGACATTTTCCATACCCAGCTGGAGTCAAAAGTATTGGACACTTATAATGGATATAGGCCGAGCATGTTTTACAAGACATAATGGTTATAAATATTTATAACGGAGTCAATTATGTGGTACTTAATCCCCTTGTCTACCGTGTTAATGTCAGTTCTCTTTTTCCTGTGGACATGACATTCTTCACATCCCTGCCCCTTCCATTATTTTAAGAGTGAATATTTGTTTGCAATTGGTGAACAATATTGCCCTGGCATACACAAGAAATGTTAAACATTGTTAACTGGTGCCAGTTTTCGACACCTTACACCTAGTGTTCGAACAGTTTAAAGCCAGCCTCCCTAATGATTTACATTTTGGATTTTACACAGACAGGGAAGCAGAAGGAAAATAAATGTTGGTGGAATTTTCAAAAGCGCCCTGCATTGGTGCAGAGGGAGAGGTAGGGCATTGCCTATGTCTGGGATTCAAATCTCAGTTGGGTTGCAGCTGAATTTGGTAGCCTCAGACTAGTCTCCTGGGGCTATTTGTCCGCATGACAGAAACAACATATTATGGGCTCTCTTTGCTCAGGCAGAAGACTAGGAACAGCAGAAGACTGGCGGGGGAAAAAAAACAAACTTGGGTGTCTTCTTGACAGAGCTTGGCATAGGAAACTTGCCCAGTGTCTGCCTATGCTACAAGCTATTAGTCTCCATTTTTCATGAGCATTAAAGTCATTTATAATTTTTTAAAAAGACAACTTTTAACCTTAAGAGGAAAAATATGCTGTGTGACACAGAAGAGACTCACAAGAAGGGGACACTGGCCACTTGAAATGCACTGTAAAGAGCAGCTCCAGATCAGGGCTTTGGAAGCTGCAAGCTAAAATCTTGCATCTTTACAGTGAATGGTCAAAAATGAGCTTGTCTGGATGGAATAATGCAGCAGGCTCAATTGAGATTTGCTACAGAGAGGGGGAACATTTAAAGATTTGTAGAGTTTGCATTTTCAGGCCCTGAAAATCTCTGGAATCATTTATCACTACAGTAGCTCTCTGCAACTGTAGGGTTGTTTTTGCCCCCCTTTTGCTTGTCGTATAGATCGTTTTAACCCTTGTGGTGCCAAATGACAATTAGTCTGTGAGGTCTGGCTGGCACTTTGCTCTTTGTGCAATGCCACAGTAACGAAGCAAGGTGCAATTTCTTTGAAGTCACTCTGCATGTTGCTATTTGTAAAGCACATCCCCCCGCCCCCACCTGGAGCCTGTGTACTTGATTAATGTGAGCGGGGAACCTCTTTGTGATCTAGCATCGTTTGGAAGGTATTCAATCTCTGCTGTGCCCCCATTTAACATGGCAAGCGTTGATTCATTCTCAAATTTTATGTCCATTATGCTCCTGGTCTTTAAACTCAAACAGTTTTGATTCACCGCCAAGTACAGTAACAGTTTTCAATTCACCAATCCAGGATTTCAGTAACTGCCAGAAACTTTCCCACTGTTCCCCGCTGTTCTAAACAGAATGCCATCCGGCACTATCTTACAAATTTCCTCTTGACTAAAGAGACTACTGATCAACACAGATGGTGCCACAAGGGGTAATTATTAGCTCTTCAATGGGGCTTGATTTTGGTCCTTGACAAGTGTTAAAAAATGAGAAATCCCATTGTGCAATTATCCATCTTGTGGGTTCAAGGAGAAACTCAACGCCTAGAATGAAGTTGGAAAATAGTTTTTTTTAATCTATCGGTCAAGATAAACAATGTCCATTAAGTGAGCTGACTAAATGGGATCTAGGTCTTCCAAGATACCTAAGAAAAGCCAAGACAGATAGTTAATTATTGGCAAGACACCCAAGAGCCACCTGCAAAATCATTTTATGAAACACCTGACGAGGGGCCTATCTGAAATAAGTTTGGGGTTCCAGTGTGGTTCCCATCATAATTCACCACCACCACCTTTGTTGGCAGTCTCAGAAGAGAGAGACCAGTGACTGGCCAGGCTTGGTGAATTAACCATCCCTAACAGTGACCCCCTCCAGGTCAGGGATAAGTTACATCAACACGGCTTTCCAACACCTTTTCATCCCCTTCACATACAGTCAGGGACTGATTCAACCTCCAGGATGAGTTAGAATAGTCTATAGTCTCTTGCTCCAGCCCAGGATCACAAGAACACAGCGCACACTGGGCATGAACCTTCCCATCCCTGGAATACCCACTACACCAGGGAGGTCAAGAGCAGGAGGCACAGAGCTGGCTACCCTAGCTTGTTTCCATCTTAGAATTCACAAGGGGTGCAAAAAACAATGGAGCAGGGCAAATATCTGCCCCGTCCCTACCCCCCAAAAACACATTCAGTACAAATCCCACAGATCCTCGCTCTACTTTTCTTACTTTCATCTTTCAACATACATACGAGGATACCAAGCCCCCCATCTTTGTTAGAATGTGTGTTCATTGGCCAGTGTGGCCATCTGACACTGTTCAAGAGCATTGTAATGATCTACAGAAGAGGCCTACCACCAGTAACAGCAGTGAAAGTTTCTCCATTTCCACACTACATCTTTGGCCCCCTATCGGCTTTTCTGCACTGGAAAATTACATCATGTTAGAATGTGAGTGAGGAGTCACGGTACCTAACACAATGTTAAACACAATTTAGAGGTTGGCAGAGACTTGGACTGTCATATTTAATGCTGCATGTGGTCAAGGTTAACCCTAGAAGACATCGGTCACAACTAACTACAGCGTGAACTCAGAGTTGATCACAAAGAGCTGACATGTTGCTAAACATCTCAGTCCCAGTCCACACCAAGTGTTTAGCACTGTTCGCTTGCTCCCATGATGCCTCAATGAAACCTGGCAGAAGTTTGTCAAAGACAAAAAAAAAAAAAGTTTAAAAAAAAATGAAGAATTTCACAGGAACTGCCCTCCCCCCACCATACTTTTCTTGAAAAGGTTTGCTTTTTTGCAATCTTTCCATAGCCTTTAAAAAAATAACCCTATTATAGAAATTTTTCATTTACTGAAACACCAGGGATTTGGTAAACCATTTACTGAAAAACCTGGGTTTGGCAAACGGAAAACATCAAGCACCATTTTGATAATGGTTTTGATTAAAAATTCAGTATAAACAAAGTCCCAAAAAAATACAAAAAATGAGTGTTTGGAATCCTGTGTAATAGAAAAAGCTTTGAAGTTTTAAATGTTTCATGGTTCCATTCTTCAGCCAGCTTCAGTACATTTGTAGCGCCCGCAGGCCCCAAGCAGGGCCCAAATTTAATAGCGAAATGGAGTCTCGAGTTCCAAGTTTATTCGTATCTCCAGCTTCAAGCTGTATCTCCCAGACAGGCTGCCCTGCAGATGCTTGCCCATTCAGAACTAGGCCTAGATCACAAACTCCTTTCACCAGGTTCCAATCATCATGCACCGACTGAGCAAGTGGCCAGTTTTTGTCTTCTCACTGCGTATGTCTACACTGCTGTCAGGAGGTGTGACTGGAATCTGCGTAGACATAACCAAGCTAGCTTTGATTGAGCTCGCTCTTTAAAAACAGCAGTAAAGCCATGGCAGCCCAGGTCATCCGCCTGAGCACGTACCCAGGATCCTGGGTGGGCTTGTACGGGCCTGTGCCACTGTAGCTTCACGGCTATTTTTAATGAGCTAGCTTGAGTATGTGTACATGCGCTGCAATCTCACCTCCAGATTACAGTGTAGACTTGTCCATTGAGCCAGAACCTCTGGAGCGGATGGCAGAGTGGAGGGTGGCTGTACTTCTCATGAGGCAGCATAGAGAGAGCGGATAGACTAAGGCTCCTTGATCAGGACAAGTGGAAGGGAAAGTTTTATAAGCTTGAATTAATAGGCAAGGGATAAAAAAAAAGTTACCAAATAAAATAGGCAAGGAATAGTTACCAAGTAACTGATAATGGCAGCCAACAGAACAACAGAAATTGCTGGGGAGACAGGCAGATCTACCAAATACATTAAAATATCAAACTAGCAAGACATTTGCCGACCACCCTCACCACTTCTTTCCTCCCGCCTTTCCCTCCACCTCCTACCCCCCCATTTCTTTTAAATTGTAAGATCTTCAGGGCATGGATAGTCTTTCTCTAGACCTGTACAGCGCTTGGCACATTTTAACCACTATTGTAATAAGAACAACACAGAACAAATCTGCACAGCTTAGTACCTGTTACATTCCACCCACAATGGGACCAACCATACCGCGGTCTGTTGCTCTGATTACTGCTATGCCGCCGGTGGGGGATGACAGCTACATTAGAGTGGGAACAAGTAGTAGTTCTTTCATTTACCTGGAATGCTTTGCCTTCTGGAGACGAGGGCTGTGTCCAATCCACCTGAGTCTTTGCTCCCCTTCGAGTAAGGGCCATCATCTTCCGGGGAAGAAAAAAAACAACAACAGAAGCTAAGATTATACTGAAAACAAAAGCTACTTTTAAGAGTTCATCCATGACCATTTCTATAGATAGTGTCTCATCCCAGTTCCTGGCTTCAGGTGAGAAAGGTTTTATTAACCACAGGACCACTTCACAATCTAAATTGGCTCTACGGCCTTTGGGGGAGGGAGGGAAAGAAGAGACAAGTGGGGTGATAACACACACTGATTTATTTCTCTGGGAGCTAATCCTTTAGGAGAGCGCAAATTCCCTTAGTCCTGTAATCATGTGCAACAGTAGAGATGAGGAAAAGCTGTAACATCAGTCTCAAGTTTTAAGCCTGTCATCATGCTTGTGAAGAAACGCATGGTCTTTGGAAATGGAGTAATACATCAGGATACTAACAGGGCACTAAATCACCATACTTGAATTAAATTGCCTATTCTTAGAGATCCTGTTCTTTCAAAGTCACATTTCCTTGCTACAGCTTCAGCTACTGTACAGTAGAGAAACCACCTTCTCTTTAAAAAGGCTTAAAAATGCAGGAATAGAAGGAAATGGTGTTAGAAAGAGACTTGTCTGACATCAATTTAAATCCAAATGCAAGTATTAAGTATGATTTATCTATTCGTACTGGAAGATGCATATAGTTTATTCATGGGGAAATCAGGATACTGAAAAAAAGAAGTGGAAAAAAAGAGGCTTTTAAAATTGACTGAACCAAATACGCCAGTCATTAAGTTTTCAGGAGAGGTTAAAGCAAAGCAAATGTCAAGAAACTTAGGAATGCAATGATTGGTATTCCACAGTATCTGGTTTCTATAATCGACAACAAAGACTTAAAAATAATTCTCTACAACATAGATATTTATTACGTTTCTAATCACTGAAGTATCTGGGGATGGGTTTCCAATCATTTAGGATGGAAGAACTGATTAGATAAAGAATCAAGCTGAACTATCACTCAGAACTGTGAAGGCTAAAAATTGTAAAGTTCTTGTTTAGTTTGAACTGAATAAACACTCCCACTCATTCCACTACCACACATATACGAAGTGCCTTTAGTAACTGGGCACTTTGAACATTGCAGATCAATACATTTTCAGTAAATCTCGGTTTAGAAAGTTAGGGAGACTATACTAAAGAAATGCAGGATCAGATAAACCCAATTCCCATTCACTGCATTCCTGGGGTATCCTGAAACTCATCTTCAATAGCTGTAAAGATTACAAAATTTAGTTAAAATAAAAATCTGGAGAACAATCTCTCTTATTTGCCCTCCCCCAGTAAATGTATGTACAGGTCAGAGACAACAGGAGTTTTGCTTCTCTACTAAGGTAAAGGACCCAATTTACACTCCATTTAACTCCATCAAAAGACAATTAGCTTGTAACTCGCTGAAAACAGTGGGCTTCTATGGGGGTTATAAATCAGGGCAGATTTTGGCCCCACATGAGCAAAGAAAAATGCTTGGTTACTTTACCTCCTACTGCTACCATTCTATTATTATTAATTATTATTATTATTAATGCAGGTCTATTCACTTTCTGCCTGACCACATCATCAAGTGCCAAGAACCCAGCAAGTACAGGCACTCAAGATTTGCAGCCCGCCTGAAGCAGTCATGGAGCTAGACAGACAGCAACCAATTGCCTTGCCAATCTACACATTTGCCGTTAGCGCAACATGTAATGACGATCTCTAAAATGGAGGGCAAGACACTTCCTTTAAAAATAAATAAAAGGAGTGGAGCAGGTAAGGCCTCTTCGGAATGAAACCACACGGTGTGAAATCCCCCTTCCAAGATCTGACAGCACAACACAAGCAGTCTATACCAGCATTGAAACAGGCTACACTTGTTCAGATAATTAAAGCAATCATCAGGCCGAGGCCCTGATAGCTGATAGGAGCTTGTATAGCTTGGCCCCAATTCTAGGATCAAAAAAGGTGTGAAAGTTAATTTGCATTTATAATGAAAACAATCCTTTGGGTGATGCAGAAGTGGGGGGCAGGGTTAAATCTGGGCTTAATATTCTGGATATAGGTTTAATTTACTAAGGACAGTTTAGCTGCAGCACCTGGTTTAAAAAAAAAAAAATGAAGTCACTCTCCTGCCCTCTCCTCCCCACCAATACGTCCTTGATGGGGAAGCCATAACACCGGGAGACCTTGCACTGTGGGGACCTCAGCCATGAAGGTCATTACTATGATAGGAAACACCTGCCTTAGAGGGGAGCCCCCAACTTTCACTCCTTACCTCGCAGTGTCACTGAAAGGGACAGCTAAGGGGAACAAAGAATTCAGTGCTTCACAATGCAGCTCAAAATGCACCAACATACAGTCTAAACTGCCCCTCCAGTTTCGGTCCCTCAGTCACTGATTTTGGCACCGCTTTCCTTTGGGCAGGGGCAGATCCTCACACGCAGCATTGCCAGGCACCCCAGCTGCTCCCCAGGCACATCTCCCAGCCCTGACCTCAAACTCTAGGCCTGCTGTGTCCCTGCAGCAGCAGATACCAGCTGCTAGGCCCCATGCAGTCTCTTCTCAGACAGCATCACCACCCTCCAGTGGGACAAACAGGAAGTAGAAGTGGGATCTCCTGCCTGCCCTCTAGCTAACGGGACTCTGGGGGGGGTGTGGGGGGGTGGAGAGGCCACCTCCCCTTGTTTGCCTACCTCTTAAAGGCTTAACTAAATCGTGGCTCTGGGAGCAAGCCAGTTTTCACAGCACTGCCACCACCATGTAGAGTGGGGGATCCACACTACAAACGGGCATGAAACGTTGGGTCTTCTCCATTTCCCTAGCGGTCAGGGGAGTGAGAGTGTGCCTAGTAACTGAAGAAAGATTTCTGGAATAATAGCACAGGGCCACCTCCTTTCTGTAAACAACCACTTCTAGCACTGCTGAGTAAGCCATATAGAGCGCAATGCCGAGGATCACACAGCAGAGTCCATATTAGCCAAAATTAGATGAATCCAAAAGCAAGAGAATGCTGCTTTGACCATATGGACATCCAGCCTTCTGAATAAAACACCATGCCATGATGACAATGTGCAGGCCTTGGGGCATTTCCCTTGATCACCATAGCCTCAATCTTACAGTAAGCAGGCCAACAGCTACGTTTCAAAACAGGATTTCTGCTTCAGCAACTGTCGTCAGAACAGTCAGCAGCACAGAGCTCTGCCATGCTTGGCGCACGAGAGATCAAGATCACGCCATTAGGAAAGGGCATCTTTGGGTCTGAGGCCGCCAATTAATCCAGAATGACACCAAGCCATTTGCATTCTGAACTTGTCAAGAGGTAAAAATTTTTTTTTTTTTTTCCCTTTTTTTAAAAACATGAAGTATAGGGTAAACTGGCCTGGCAGAGACACTCAAGGTGCTACCCTTGAGGCAAAATGCTACTGTATATAACAAATGCAAAGCCAGCATTACTGGGAAACCACACAAGAGGATCTGAAGCCAGCTCAATAATCCGATAGCAAAGTACAGCAGCCAACCATCTGCTTCACATAAACACACCACCCCAGACTAGTTAACCACCAGAGCACTTCTATGCTTAATTTCCCTGCAGTAGCCCAAATAAACACTGAATGTGAAGTCTCACGTTAGTAGCTGCTATCCTCTCACATCCAAAAAATGCTATAGCTGTTGGCAAACAAATAGGCTTTCCATTCTAGGAAACAACCCAAAGTAACTAAATTTCCCTCAGATTAATGGCAGCCATCATCAACAGCTAAGCAGCTAGGACAAGTAATGAAGTTCCATTCAGTGTTCATGATTAGACATGCAGAAAGGATGCCGGTCAACAAAATCCTCTGGTATTTCATCGACAGACAGATCAGCTGGCAAATAATGAGCATCAAGAGTCACCTCCCTCATGTGTTCTTTCCTCCAAAGAAGTTTATTATGCTAAAATGTTTGTTTTTGCTCATTATCTGCCTAAAATGTTTGCGCAGTTAAGGAAGCTGCCGCAGGAGGCCTGTCGAAGTGTGAATTGGCTTTTGCTTGCGTTAGATTCCCCACTGAGCAGCCCATTGTTCATTTTCGGCCGATTTCCTGCTCCGCCACTCAAACTGGCATTAACGGAGTTGTTAAATTTGTTAAAATTTTAATGTTTTATGCTTAGGAATCTCCACTCTTCTTATCTCTGTTCCCTTACACAAAACATATTCCTAAGAGGCTCTGGTAAGCACAATAATCACTTCATTGGCATACATTGTATTGCCAACCTCAAGTGTTCAAAATTCATGAGTCCCCACTCCTGCCCCCACCCAAATAACGAAACTGACTTACAAATGAGGTGTGGATATTAGCCAATAAAAAGAACCAACTATATATTATATTTATTACTTTCTGGTGTTGGAACCTTTGGGGTTCATGTCTTCAAGCTTTTCACAGCCAAGACACTAGAAACTCATTAAAAAAGAAAAATTGAGATTCTCAAATAGTCACGTGAATCCAGGGGCTGGGGTTTTAAAAACCAATAGCTATCACAAGATTAGTGATAAACCCATGAGAGACAGCAACACTGCACATGTTTTTCTACTAGGATCTGTGCCAATTAAAAGGGTTCTACAAAATTCTTAGATGCCTTTTCCAAAATTTCAGTTCCAATATTAACACAGGACAACCTCCCACATACTCTTCGCGTCGTGGCATGGCACTGGTGTTCTGCTGCAGTGTGAACAGGTTTTTATAACAGGAGCAGACCTGCAGTAATAAGCATCAAGTGGGAGGAGTAGGGAAACAAGAACGGTGACAAAACCACATGGAAGTCACCACTGAGGAGATGAGAAAGGAGGCAGAAGCACCAGAGTCAGGATTCAACTCTAAGGCCCTGGGAAGGCTACAATGCTTACCACAGTGGGTAGACAGTTAATGGTACGGTTGACTCAGCGTGGTATATGCCCAGACACGACATGCTCACTAGCACTTAGGTATAGCATTTTGTCCTACTAGAGGCCTAGGCTGGCAAATGGTGTCTTCCTGGTCTC